TCTTAAATCATTTCAGTTTAGTTTACGCCACTGCTTCAAATACGGATTCACAGTACAAGCTATTGTGTAAATAAGAAGCAATATCATCAGTAAAACCTCACCAATAAGTTTTGACTGGTAAAACCATGTACTGTAACTAATATTTACTATTTATATGCCGGCACTGATATATGTTTAAACAATTGAAGAATCACAAAATTTGAAATTCATGTTTGGGTGCTGAAGTGCGCACTCTAAGAAAACTCTTCCACCACCGTGCATTATCACATCTCGCGTTTTTCGCAGCATTTGAATTCAATCTTAAACCCACAGGCTCGAATCCATGGTTGACCAAGATTTTATAAGAAACAGCGACAACAGTAAGACCCACACAATACAATAACAAAGAAATAAAATAACATAAAACTTTTAGAAGAGAAAAGTGCTTAAATTGTAACTGATAAATAATATATACAAAAACTCTTGAGAATAATACTGCTCACATTATTAATATGAGATATAAAAAACAGTACCTGAAACAAAAATAATAGCCCCAAATTACGAACAATAAATATATATAGGGAAGCTTCAGTTTTTTTTTACTTTAGTGTTTTTTCAGTTTTTTTTTGTTTTGTTGGACTATAATCAGTCTTTTTTATCAATGTTCATATTGAAAGAAACAGCCTATCTAAAAATCATGGCTGGACGAACGTTTGTAATATTGTACATGTTGATCAGTCACAGAACTAGTACACTTTAGATCATACCGAAAACTATTACTACAATCATTGAGAATACAATACTGGAAGAAGCAACTCTAATCGAAGCACCCTTACCCTGTAGGACAGAAGCTGTTTGCGTGCTGCTGAATCCACTGCCGATGTTGTCAACAGAGGAACCAGATGATAATAGAACAGTCGTGGCAGCCTGTTGACGTGATGATTGTGCTTGTGCTTGTCCTTGTGTTTGAGCTTGTGAAGGTACAGAGTGTGGTGTTTGGCTACTATGAATACCACTGACTGGAGATGCAGTACCCTTTGCACTCTGAACAGATGGAGATCCAGATGGTACATTATTGCCTGCCGATTGGTGCACTGACCCAGAGCCAGATCCAGAGCCACTACCACCGGCTGTGCCAGCAGCTTGTGTTGGCTTTTCGTTGCCCGACCCTTGACCAGCCACATTTCCTGACTGAGGTTTCTGAGAGTTGACAATACCACCTACACCTGCTGTTCCAGGAGCATTAGATCCTGCACCGGATACAGTTGAGACTGGTTTTGCACTTGAAACAGTGCTGCCATGACTCTGGCCACCCACGGTTTGCGTTACTGTAGAAACAATTGTGTGACCGTGCTCATCAGTACCTGTGCTATGGGATACAACCCCGGTGAATGTGTGACCGTTAGAAACCACGGTGGTGGTGTGATCAGACCCAATATTTGCTTTAGAATTCGAAGGTGCGGGTGCATTCGTGATTGTGGTGGTTATTGTTGTAGGATTACCATTGGAGTCGGTAGTGGTGATATGCGAAATGACATCAGTTTCGGTACTGCCATTACCCCTGTCGACTGTTGTGGTGTAGTCGGCTTCACCTCCAACAGAGACAGTGGAGATAGTAGTTGTACCTGTCCTGGTGACACCATCGTCGCCAACAGATGGGAAGTACGAAATTACAACAGTGGCAGTAGTAGTGTCTGCACTCACAGTTGTCGTAGTTACTGGGGGCTGCGAGTAAGCAGGAGCAGAAGTGTATACACCATCACCCACTTGATCATATGACATAACGGTCACAGTAGTGGTGACCGTCTGACCGACATCATTCGTCGTTGTAACATGAGAAACAACAGCTGTGATCGTGTGACCATCAGAAACAAACACAGATGTGTAATCTGGTTCTTCTGTTAAAGTCACAGTTGTTATGATCGTGGTAGGCTTGCCGTCGGAGTCCGTGGTCGTGATGTGCGAAACAAGGTCTGTATCGAAGTCACCGTTGCCCTTGTCGATCGTCGTCGTGTAGTCGGCCTCGCCGGCATCACTTGGCTTCAATGGGATGGTGGTGGTGATCGTGGTAGGCTTGCCGTCAGAGTCCTTGGTCGTGATGTGCGAAACAAGGTCTGTCTCGAAGTCACCGTTGCCCTTGTCGATCGTCGTCGTGTAGTCGGCCTCGCCGGCATCACTTGGCTTCAATGGGATGGTGGTGGTGATCGTGGTAGGCTTGCCGTCAGAGTCCTTGGTCGTGATGTGCGAAACAAGGTCTGTCTCGAAGTCACCGTTGCCCTTGTCGATCGTCGTCGTGTAGTCGGCCTCGCCGGCATCACTTGGCTTCAATGGGATGGTGGTGGTGATCGTGGTAGGCTTGCCGTCAGAGTCCTTGGTCGTGATGTGCGAAACAAGGTCTGTCTCGAAGTCACCGTTGCCCTTGTCGATCGTCGTCGTGTAGTCGGCCTCGCCGGCATCACTTGGCTTCAATGGGATGGTGGTGGTGATCGTGGTAGGCTTGCCGTCAGAGTCCTTGGTCGTGATGTGCGAAACAAGGTCTGTCTCGAAGTCACCGTTGCCCTTGTCGATCGTCGTCGTGTAGTCGGCCTCGCCGGCATCACTTGGCTTCAATGGGATGGTGGTGGTGATCGTGGTAGGCTTGCCGTCAGAGTCCTTGGTCGTGATGTGCGAAACAAGGTCTGTCTCGAAGTCACCGTTGCCCTTGTCGATCGTCGTCGTGTAGTCGGCCTCGCCGGCATCACTTGGCTTCAATGGGATGGTGGTGGTGATCGTGGTAGGCTTGCCGTCAGAGTCCTTGGTCGTGATGTGCGAAACAAGGTCTGTCTCGAAGTCACCGTTGCCCTTGTCGATCGTCGTCGTGTAGTCGGCCTCGCCGGCATCACTTGGCTTCAATGGGATGGTGGTGGTGATCGTGGTAGGCTTGCCGTCAGAGTCCTTGGTCGTGATGTGCGAAACAAGGTCTGTCTCGAAGTCACCGTTGCCCTTGTCGATCGTCGTCGTGTAGTCGGCCTCGCCGGCATCACTTGGCTTCAATGGGATGGTGGTGGTGATCGTGGTAGGCTTGCCGTCGGAGTCCGTGGTCGTGATGTGCGAAACAAGGTCTGTATCGAAGTCACCGTTGCCCTTGTCGATCGTCGTCGTGTAGTCGGCCTCGCCGGCATCACTTGGCTTCAATGGGATGGTGGTGGTGATCGTGGTAGGCTTGCCGTCAGAGTCCTTGGTCGTGATGTGCGAAACAAGGTCTGTCTCGAAGTCACCGTTGCCCTTGTCGATCGTCGTCGTGTAGTCGGCCTCGCCGGCATCACTTGGCTTCAATGGGATGGTGGTGGTGATCGTGGTAGGCTTGCCGTCAGAGTCCTTGGTCGTGATGTGCGAAACAAGGTCTGTCTCGAAGTCACCGTTGCCCTTGTCGATCGTCGTCGTGTAGTCGGACTCTTCAATTTTCGATTTTGAATATCTTGAGGATGACGTATATGGAGCTTGTGAATCTATATAGTCACGTGTAGCGTTGAACAGAGTGCTGCTCGTAACAATATCGCCCTTCTCATCAGTGGTGATGAAGAACGAGATCCAGTCCGACTCAATGTAGTCCGACGCAGTGGTGGCTGTCACAGTCACCGGTGGAGGACTGTAGGTGGCCGTCGAGTTTGTCGTGATCAGACCCCCGAATTCATTGGTGGTCGTCCAGTAGCTGATGACCAGATACTCAGTCACTTCGTTGCCCAGATCAACTGTCTTCGTCACAGCTGGAGGTGCAGGCCCGAACGACGTGTGGGGGGCCTCCGGCAAGTTGTAGTCACGCGTGGCGTTGAACAGAGTGCTGCTCGTAACAATATCGCCCTTCTCATCAGTGGTGATGAAGAACGAGATCCAGTCCGACTCAATGTAGTCCGACGCAGTGGTGGCTGTCACAGTCACCGGTGGAGGACTGTAGGTGGCCGTCGAGTTTGTCGTGATCAGACCCCCGAATTCATTGGTGGTCGTCCAGTAGCTGATGACCAGATACTCAGTCACTTCGTTGCCCAGATCAACTGTCTTCGTCACAGCTGGAGGTGCAGGCCCGAACGACGTGTGGGGGGCCTCCGGCAAGTTGTAGTCACGCGTGGCGTTGAACAGAGTGCTGCTCGTAACAATATCGCCCTTCTCATCAGTGGTGATGAAGAACGAGATCCAGTCCGACTCAATGTAGTCCGACGCAGTGGTGGCTGTCACAGTCACCGGTGGAGGACTGTAGGTGGCCGTCGAGTTTGTCGTGATCAGACCCCCGAATTCATTGGTGGTCGTCCAGTAGCTGATGACCAGATACTCAGTCACTTCGTTGCCCAGATCAACTGTCTTCGTCACAGCTGGAGGTGCAGGCCCGAACGACGTGTGGGGGGCCTCCGGCAAGTTGTAGTCACGCGTGGCGTTGAACAGAGTGCTGCTCGTAACAATATCGCCCTTCTCATCAGTGGTGATGAAGAACGAGATCCAGTCCGACTCAATGTAGTCCGACGCAGTGGTGGCTGTCACAGTCACCGGTGGAGGACTGTAGGTGGCCGTCGAGTTTGTCGTGATCAGACCCCCGAATTCATTGGTGGTCGTCCAGTAGCTGATGACCAGATACTCAGTCACTTCGTTGCCCAGATCAACTGTCTTCGTCACAGCTGGAGGTGCAGGCCCGTACAATGGTATGGTGGTTGTGATTGTGGTAGGCTTGCCGTCAGTGTCCTTGGTCGTGATGTGCGAAACAAGGTCTGTCTCGAAGTCACCGTTGCCCTTGTCGATCGTCGTCGTATAATCGGAATTTTCTGAGGATATAGGTTGGAGGAGGATTGCCACTTCATTTTCATACTTGTGAAAACTAAAATATCCGTTTCTTGCATCAGGATTACCTTGTATGTACATTGAGCTGATGTTATAATTGTGATCACCTATTACAGATATCGACTTTTGTGACGTAAGATTTTTCACCTCAATGACATTGTTTTCAGCCGTTGCAATTACATCTTTGCTATTACCGTCGAAGAAATACATGAGACCCATCTGTTGTAACGCACTTTTTCCATCTAAATATTTGAAATTTAAAAACTTAAAGCCATCTTGACCTTCTGGGAGTAAGATATAGTTAAGGACAATTTGAGGCCCCAATACTGGGCCTTCACCGAGGTCAATTGTGATTGGTGAAACGACTGAATACCCTTGATAACCTAATGAACGAATTAGTACATTTTCTGTTCCTTTAAAAATATCCGCATAAACGCCAATAAAAGCTTGACAGTGTATATTACCTGATAAATCATTCTGAATAGTGAATACACCATTTTCATCAATGTGATCAGGACCAAGATCTACTCTCCATAACTTGTCATCAAAGTAGCCATCTACTTTCGAGTCACTTCTCAACACCTCGAGATTACCCAATATGGCTAATGGTGAGTTATTAGGAGCCTTGTACGTGCCACCGATATGAATTGAGGGGTTAAATGTTATATCAGCAACAATACCAGTACCGGTTGTCTTTGGTAATTTAATTCTCATAAGACTATTTTTTGATATAAAGACCCCATCAGCACCGGTGTTGATATCGAATGTAAAAGTACTGTAGTCAAAGTCTGACGCAACAATGTTATATGACAATGAGCTACCATCAAAGATAAACTGTGATTCATCATCTATACTTACCTTGCCATTGATAACTATTGAATATGGAGTGCCATCACCTGAAGGCGCATTTATCTTAAGTACAGAATTGCCAGTCAGTGAAATACCTTCTGGTAATTTGATAGTTGTGAAATCATTAAGTGTCACCTTAGCATTTTTCAGAACCATCAGTTCGTCATCTTCGTAGGTTGTCAATCCAAGCGTAGCACTGTCAAGGACAATTTCTTGATTTTCATAAGTTTTAGCAAGTACCGATGTGCAGTAAAATACTGTACTGGCAGCTAATAATAATATGTTTCTAAATCTCATAAAAAATTAATCAGTAGAACACCTGCACTTACTATTATTACTAGTATTACTTCTTCTCAGTATAACTTTTTTGAAGTTTTTTCTTTTGTCACTATAGACAATATATGGTCACATGTATTATATAATATAATACGATTTTAGCATACACTTGGAATTCCATATTACGTTAGTTATAGAGATGGTATTTATATAAAATGTATATCAAAAATATTTTGCAGAATGTGCAAGTTTTCTCGGGTTACTATACACTGAAAATTTACCGAAAATTTGGTAGCTTGAGTTCTTTACTGAGAATATTGAGCATTAGGGGGTCAATTTGGCTTTGTGCAAATCTTCCTAAATTAATTCTAATTCTGAGAAGAAGTGAAAAGTGGGCAGTGCGATTGAATAGAGGAAACTAGTTCGAATCAGCACAGATTATTTTGAACAATGAGGTTTCCATATTATACTGATATCTTCGGAGGTGTTTAATACTGGCATTGATTATTTAGGTATTCACGGCATGCCGATAAAGGAAGCTATTGCCCCTTCTTATTTACTAAGGGATGAAAGTCTTGGTCAATTACGGGGGTAAACATATACAACCTGTTTTGTGAGGAACGTTTAAGGGCGAAAGTGCGAGCATTACTGTTGGATGATTCGATTTCTTGGACATTTCTAAGTTTACTAGGGTGATCGGAAACAAAATTTAATGTTGCCAGTCTTTCTGGTTGGAACATATTATTAGTACTACGAAGTGGCACTGGGATTATCTGCAACTAGAGGTTGAGTTTGTGTAAGCTGCTACATTTGTGTGGACAGAAAATGGCGTTATAGGCTAACCAATGAGAGGGGAGCATGAGAAGATTATTGAAACAGTACTACGTGCGAGAGTTTCAATGAGAAGAAAAAGAAGTGGGATTTTATGAGAAATTCAACCGAGAACCAAAAAGAAATGTACTCCCGCAACCGATGGGAGCCGCTTGTTGCGAAGAGAAAAGCAGTGGAAATGCTCGGCTTACAAATGTAAGGATTTTCCCGGTCGTGATTTTCCCGGTCGTGATTTTCCCGGTCGTGATTTTCATGCGCGAGATTTAAAGGGGCAGCACAGTTCGTTAGCTTGCAGCAGCATGTTCTGTGGGTTGTGCAAAAGATCGTGAGATATTTTGCTTCCACGGCATCGGACAAAAGGTTCGTTTCTTCCAGAAATTGCAAAAGAGTTCCTTCCGCTTTACCAAAAGATATAGTGCGGTCCGGGTCTGTCTGTGCAGGATTGCTTCCAAAAAAAGAAAGAAGTGGAAGAAGTCATTTTTTCAGGGATGGAAGTCCTGACCAAATTACCGGTGGTGTATGGGTGTATTCCTGACTTCTTTTCTGTGGTTGTCTTGGTAGCGCGGGAGTTGAGTGAACGAGTAAGTAAGCTGAGTAAGGGTTGCGTGAGCGGTGGGGGGTTGGTTCTTAGAATGCCAGAACAATCCCTAGCATACCGGTATTTTGCAATTTTGCTTTGTTGTTTGCTCAGAGTAAGTCTTCAACTGGGTATATGGATCCTTATTTGTGAATACTACTAATATTGTCTTATTGCACAAGTTCCATTGAAAATTTCTCACAACTTTCTATCATACTACTTAGGGTATGCATTGCCTTGTATCAATAATGCCCATTTGTTTCTGCACTGAGATTGTGTATTATAATCGATAGTAGTTTTCACTGTTGGATCGTGTGTATCTTTATTGTTGATTTCATAGCATATTACGTCAGAAGATATGAGTATCTTGTAAACTGTGTTGTTTTAAGTCATTGATCAAGAAAAACCAATAATGTTGTCTATACAAATTTACACCACAAGATTATCCTCAAACATAAAAGCAACAAACTCTTTTAGAAACCATCTTTGTGGGAACATATGGGAAGTATGGTGGAACCTATTCCTATTGCTGACATTTCGAATGGTAATTGAGGGTAACAAATTTTGAATAGAGGATCGCGATAACAAGCATTATATTGTTACCTGATAAGTTTATGTTTAAGAACAGGTGGCTGCTTAAAGAGGATAATAAGTAATATATCATACATTACTATGATTTTCATTTCCCTAGTATATTTTTGAATGCACTTTCAATATTTAAAGTTATAGGTTATGTTCTTGTATGCTTTGATTGTTTCCTACACGGGCTTGCTTCAAACATATTTCTTTGATTCCACCATCTAACGACAATGGCAATGTACATCATGTGAAATGGAATCGTCTCAAGAAACGCTCCAGCATGATAATGCATGTGCATATGCTCATCATATACGTACATTCGCTGCCGTCTGCATTTTCTCATGTAAACAAAGAACATCTAAATAGCTAACTGATGGCTGATCAGAACGGATCAGTAAATGCAGTCACAACACGTTTGGATAAAATGGCAAGACTTGAATTATACCCTAGTTTATCATACTATCCATAGTTGATATGTGAGGTTTTTATGGTGTTTTAAGGTAATTGAAGATACGTTCCTCAGCCAATGACCCAAATGATATATTCAGAATGTGGCATAAAAGGACTATTGATTGATGAATCATCATGTGTAACAGAAATCAGCTGATTTAGAACAGGCTAGAACAATAATGGATTTATTTCGGCCTGTTGCATAATAGCACAAAGAGACTTGGATTGAACACCTTTATGATCGGTTTGAATGAAACATTAGTTTTTGAAAAAGAGTCATTAATGATGCTAAGCACCTAATTGAGGAAAATATTATTCTTATGGATCTGTTTAGAGTCTTCGCTTGCTGCTTCAAGAACTGGTGTTCGTAAGAGTAACTCTGGTATTCACCCCTATCATGACAAGTGAGTGGTTGAAGAATACAGGGCTGAATTACCAGTTAACATTTTGTCGTCGATATTGTTGCAACAAGAGATAGACATGCCATATATGTATTTCTGAATAACAACTAACCATGGGAGTTCTGAATAATGGTCCTATGAAAGCTTGCTCACTACCGAAACCTTATTTGTAAAAGTTTCTTCCCTATCGTTGCTGTCTCTCCAATATATTGACACTACAATATACGTAGTCACTTTATAGTGTACTCTGTTTTCAATAAAGCCTTTATTCACTAAGCTCAATGTATTATACTTTTGTCCAGTTCTATGGTTTTGAATAAAATGTATGGGGCAAGTTTTGACCGAATGATGATAATAAGGGGATGCTAGGAATTTTTTGACTAACCATTTTGGGTTTATAATGTTAGATTTACAATAGATAATAATTCTATATGCAGGAATTGGTATGCCTTCCCACTATTACAAGAGGGAATGGTGAATACTTGAGTACTGTAATTATTGGCTTGGTTTCCATAGGATACATTTTGGGATGGCCAGTTCATACTTTGACTCAAAGTACTAAAAAGCATACTATAGTCGTGAATTTTATTAGCGTTCTATGCATCACAATTTAGCCAATTACTGCAGATCGCTGATGGTAGAAAAAGCAATATTAGGATAAGATGGTACATATATTATGGTTTTTTGTATGCTAAGTTCTTATGATTATCGAAATGAGTTTTCATTTGTAGTAGAAACACGATAGAAATATAGTTGTGTTCTTTGCTAGTTAGATATATTTCCTATTTAACAGTGAATAAGTATATCTTATGTTTATGAATCAATATGAAACTAATTATATATACTTAACCATAGCATATTCTAGATTGGAGGTTTGAAAATGGGGTATAATATTGGTATTTGACTGGCTTGTCGATAAACTTTAATTTGAGCTATTAATAGCTGGCAGTAATTTCGATTTCTGAAATATTTAAGGAACAAAAGTGTCAATAGCGATTTATTCTGCAAGGCCACCGACTCGTTATGTAAAAAGCTCATTTGAAAAATAGTAGTAATATAAAAGTTTCATGCCCATATTTTGTCACTTAGTAATCTCACGTACAATTCATATTCAGGAAATAGTCAGGAAGTTTTTCGATTCCTCGGTTTGATTGCATGAGCGGTTCATTATAATGAATAGCAAAGCTAAAATTCAGGGGAGGGATAAAGTGACTATTATTTAAATGGTCTTTCGTGTAGCAGATGATTAAAATTTGTAATTGATAGTGTTGGCACTGAAAAGGTAATTCTAGCTCGGATCTACTGGTAAATAAATTTGAAGGCTGAATTAACAGTTTTATCGACGGATGCAGTTAAATCATAGCTCAGTATATTGTTTCAAAGATATTAAGTATACAATGTGTACAAGGTAATATTACAATTCACAGTTCACTGGACATGATTTGGATATCGAGAGTGTTTCTTTGTTTTCTGATAGTGGTTTCCAGCAACTTAATGATCTTTTTGATAATGAGTTAAAGTTCTCTATTGTGTAAGTTATAGTCCAATGGGGGTTCACATAGTTAATGGAGTTTGATATGCGCTTTCATAACTAACGGTCCCTTGACTGGCTAGTATATTATCTAATTGCATAAAGTCTTTATATGCAGTCTTAATAAGATTGATTGGCTCTCAATAAGGCATTGGATTTCTCTTAAGCAACTCATCAAACTAACTTACCTAAAACTATATAAGCAACCCTGATAAATTACTAGCATTTTGTTAGAGTTTAAAGAAAATCTCATTACCTTTTTAAGATCATTCAAGTTTAAGGCATTGTAAGTTCTAGAAATGATAGCATTACTGACACGAGATACAAGTCTCAGAAAACTACAACAGCATAACGAATAGGAGTCATTAGTCTTCCTTCATTAATGTATATTCACACAACCTCAGATACGAACAAAGACTAGGATATAAGAAACAATTCTGAAATGGTTTGTCTGTCTCAGAAGAGCAGTATCGATAAAAAGCTTATCGAACAACTACCTATCTGGTGACTTCTTTCAAATTTCCGATATTAGTAGCAGTAGCAGGACTTAAGATAACGAGTGCTTACAGTGGTTTACTCAGTTTAAGAGCCCTAGTCCTGTTGATATAGTGCAGGTCATTTGGTCTTCGAATCAATTGGATTAGGATCTTTC